CCCATTTTGGATAGTTGTTTTTCTGGGCATGCTCACTTGGCTTCCCAAAGCAAAATTGCTTTGCAGAGGGCGCCCCCTGGTGGCACTTTCTTACAGCACCCGCAAGAGTCCAGGGATAGAATTGTGAAAATTGGGAGGGTGGGGTGAAAGATGGAATACAAAAGTCTTGTGTTAATGCCAAGTCTTGCTGTCTTGCCTCATCATGTAGAGCAGGGCTCACCAACCCCCCCCCCGGTCGGTGGACCAGTACCGGGCCGCACAAACAAGCAAAGCCCCATCCGCGAGATGCAGGCAGCACCCAAAACCACGCACCCTCCGGTCGGTGGAAAAACCTCTCTCCATGGAACTGGTCCCTGGTGCCCAAAAGGTTGGGGACCTCTGATGTAGAAGGTATTCCTGAGAGGGATGAATGAAAAACATCAAGGAAATATGCAAAAAATATATATTTCCAGTCAGGGACGCCCAAGGTATAAAAGCCATCCCAGCTGCCCGGGGACAGGCACCTCTATTAAGCAGAAATGATACAGGAAGATGCTGGAGGCAAATGAGTACTTTAGTGACAGTGGCAAAGGCATCCATTCAGACTGTGCAGAAGGCCAGGATAAAGATCAGGGTAGGCTGGATAGCCATTCGTCTGAAATGGTAGAGTTTTTTACTTGGATAGGGGGTTGGACTGGAAGACCCCCAGTGTCCCTTCCAACTCTATTATTCTGTTCTGTTATTCTTTCTAAGATTATGTATAGCCATCTCGTCAAGTCCAAAGAAAGTCCAGAATGGTATAGGTAAGGTGACCAACTTTTTTACAATGAAAAGGAGGACACAAATAAATTGAAGAAAAAAATATCGTAAATAAAAGAAACATTTTATTCATTGCAACAATAATATAGACAACTTGCATGTGCAAAGTTTGCCAGCCGGGTGTTTTGGCGTGCTCAGCAGCAATTCCTATTGGCTTTCGAAAGCCAATAGCGGGAGTAGCACAACTCATGCAAAAGTTGAAAAAAAACCATCAAAAAAAAGGTGCCGGAACACCATTCTGAGCGTTTTATGAGAAAAAAAAAGCCCTGCAGATTAGTCTTCAAATATCGAAAAGGAGGACATGTAGGAGGACACTTTTCGAGGGAGGACAGAACCTACAAAAGGAGGACTGTCCTCCCTAAAGAAGGACGGTTGGTCACCTTAGTATAGGATCCCCTGCCATGGGATAAGTGTTGGAGTAGAAGACCTCCAAGGTGTCGTCCAATCTGATTATTCTGTGTTCTATTTTTTACAAGCCATGACATTCGATGGGGACACGTTGGATCTGAAGAAGCCAGATAGGAAAAGCATTGATGCTTTTGATTATTTGCTGTTGGAGAAGACCCTTGAAAACAACATGGACCTCTAAGAAAATGAAGAACATAGAATAATACAGTTGGAAAGGACCTTGGAGGTCTTCTAGTCTAAATCCCTCCTCAAGCAGGAGAACCTAATACCATTCTGGACAAATGGCTCTCCAGTTTCTTTTTAAAAGCCTCTAGTGATGAAGCACCGACAACTTCCGAAGACAAGCTGTTCCACTGGTTAATTATCCTCACTATTAAGAAGTTTCTCCTTAATTCCAGGTTGCTTCTCTCTTTGACTAGTTTCCATCCATTGCTTCTTGTCCTGCCTTCCGGTGCTTTGGAAAATAGTTTGACCCCCTCATCTTTGTAGGAGCCCTTCAAATATTGGAACACTGCTATCATGTCTCCCCTAGTCCTTATTTTCACTAATATACCCAATGCCTGCAACCATTCTTTGTATGATTTAGCCTCCAGCCCCCTAAGCATCCTTGTTGCTCTTTTCTGCATTCTTTCCAAATATCTTTTTTATATTGTGGTGACTCGAACTGGATGCAGTATTCCAGTTCCAGCTCTAGTCCCACTTTACAAATTCCAGTATTGGTAAAGTAGTACTGGAATTTCACACGATAGCAATAGCAACAGCACTCAAACTTATATATTGTTTCATAGTGCTTTACAGCCCTCTCTGATTTACAGAGTCAACACATTTGCCCCCAACCAATCTGAGTCCTCATTTTACCAACTTTGGAAGAACGGAAGGCTGAGTCAACCTTGAACCAATCACGATCGAACTGCTGACAGTGGGCAGAATTAGCCTGCAATGCTGCATTGATTCTGTCCCTCTATTATTGCAGCCTGGAATTGTATTGGCTTTTCAGCTATTGCCGTATACTATTGGCTCATATTTAAGTGACTGATCACTAGGACTCCAAGATCTCGCACACAGTTGTTGGCATTGTGCCAAGTACCATCTATTCTATGCTTGTGCATTTGGTTTTTCTTGCCTAAGGGTAAGACCTTACTTTTTAATCTATGTTGAATTTCACTTTGTTAGATGAAATTAGATCATCTAACTTAGGCAAATTAGATCTAAGTCAGGTCGAATCTAATTTAAATTAGATCATCTAAATCAGATCACCATTAGATGAATTAGATCGTCGAACAAGCCAAGCCAGAGTCCTCACCCAAGGCACAAATGACCAGGCTCAAATGATCTTACTTCGGGCCCAGTCCTCCGCAGCTGGCTCTGATGCTGGGAAAGGTGGAAGAAAGGAGAAGAGGAGGAGGACCAGTGGCAAGGTGAATGGATGCCATTACATGAAGTTGGGGCCCTATGGAAAGACCTGAAGGGCCAGGTTAAGGATAGATTATAATGGAGAACATCTGTCTGGGATCACTAGGAGTTAAATATGACTTGATGACACGTAATCCAACAGATAATGTAGACTCCAGAATAATGTATTTGTCCAAGCATGCAAAAACCCTGTCCTGTCACTGAATTTCTTTCTCAAAATTGCACTACTGTATTCCTTCCTTCCTTCCTTCCTCCCTCCCTCTTCTCCCTCCCTCCCCCTTTCCTTATTTCCTTCCTCCCTCCCTCTCCTTTTCTTCCTTTCTCCCTGGCCCTCCTTTCCTTCCTCCTTCCCTCCCTTTCCCTTCCCTTCTTTCCTCCCTCCCTCCCCTTCTTTCCTCCCTCCCCCTTCTCTTCTTTTTTCCCTGGCCTCTTCCTTCTTTCCTTCCTCCTTCCCTTCCCCTTCCTCCCTCCCTCTCCCCTTCTTTCCTCCCTCCCCTTTCTCTTCCTTTCTCCCTGGCCTTCTCTTCTCCTCCTTCTTTCCTTCCTCCCTCCCTCTCCTTCTCTTCCTTTCTCCCTGGCCCTCCCTTCTCTTCCTCCTTCCCTCCCTTCCTTCATCCCTCCCTCCCTCCCCTTCTTTCCTCCCTCACCCTTCTCTTCCTTTCTCCCTGGCTCTCTCTTCTCTTTCTTCTTTCCTTCCTCCCTCCCTCTCCTTCTCTTCCTTTCTCCCTGGCCCTCCCTTCTCTTCCTCCTTCCCTCCCTTCCTTCATCCCTCCCTCCCTCCCCTTCTCTTCCTCCCTCCCTCCCCTTCTTTCCTCCCTCACCCTTCTCTTCCTTTCTCCCTGGCCCTCTCTTCTCTTCCTTCTTTCCTTCCTCCCTCCCTCTCCTTCTCTTCCTTTCTCCCTGGCCCTTCCTTCTCTTCCTCCTTCCCTCCCTTCCTTCATCCCTCCCTCCCTCCCCTTCTTTCCTCCCTCACCCTTCTCTTCCTTTCTCCCTGGCTCTCTCTTCTCTTCCTTCTTTCCTTCCTCCCTCCCTCTCCTTCTCTTCCTTTCTCCCTGGCCCTCCCTTCTCTTCCTCCTTCCCTCCCTTCTTCTCCTCCTCCCTCCCCTTCTCTTCCTCCCTCCCTCCCCTTCTTTCCTCCCTCACCCTTCTCTTCCTTTCTCCCTGGCTCTCTCTTCTCTTTCTTCTTTCCTCTCCCTGGCTTTCTCCCTGGCCCTCCCTTCTCTTCCTCCTTCCCTCCCTTCCTTCATCCCTCCCTCCCTCCCCTTCTCTTCCTCCCTCCCTCCCCTTCTTTCCTCCCTCACCCTTCTCTTCCTTTCTCCCTGGCTCTCTCTTCTCTTCCTTCTTTCCTTCCTCCCTCCCTCTCCTTCTCTTCCTTTCTCCCTGGCCCTCCCTTCTCTTCCTTCCTCCTTCCCTCCCTTTCTCTTCCCTTCTTTCCTTCATCCCTCCCTCCCCTTCTCTTCCTTCCTCCCTCCCTCCCTCCCTCCCTCCCTCCCCTTCTTTCCTCCCTCCTCTTCCTTTCTCCCTGGCCCTCTCTTCTCTTCCTTCCTCCTTCCCTCCCTTTCTCTTCCCTTCTTTCCTTCATCCCTCCCTCCCCTTCTCTCCCTCCCTCCCCTTCTTTCCTCCCCCTTCTCTTCCTTTCTGCCTGGCCCTCTCTTCTCTTCCTTCTTTCCTTCCTCCTTCCCTCCCTTTCCCTTCCCTTCTTTCCTTTGTTCTCCCTCCCTTTTCTTTCTTTCTTTCTTTCTTTCTTTCTTTCTTTCTTTCTTTCTTTCTTTCTTTCTTTCTTTCTTTCTTTCTTTCTTTCCTTCCTCCCTCCCTCCCTCCCTCCCTCCCTCCCTCCCTTCGATAAATGCACAAGGTGGCAGCGACTGCCTCAGGAAGGCAGAAGAAAGAAAAAGCTCCTTCCGCCAAGCCAAAATCATCTCAACCAAAAAGACCACGATGAGGGGGGGGGGCTCTTTCAATCCCTACGGCTGCCCCTAGTTTGGGGGAGACGAAGTGAAGCGGGAGGGGAGGACTGTCCGCCCCCCCCCTTCCCGAGCGCCAGGAGGCCAATTAAGAACGAGCAACTCCCGCCCCCCCCCCGTCTGAAAGCCAGCCGAGGATCTGCAAGGAGGCACCCTAGGGCGGAAAAGAGGGCCGGCAGGGGGCGCTCTCGGGCCGCTGGCCAGATGTGGCCGCCGCAGCTGCAGCGGCAGGAAGGGGAGGCGCGGGGCAGGGCGGCTCCTCCTCCTCTCTAGGGCGCCCCACTTCCTGGCTTTAACCCCTGGCAGGCGCTCCTTCGCCAGGGGAGGATCCCGGCGGCGCCCCCGCGAAAGAGCCGAGCCCGGGGGAGAAGCGGGGGCTGCGCAATCCGGATCCTTTCAAGGTTGCGTCGGCTGGGCTTGGGAGGTTCAGCACCGGGACAGGGGGAGAAAAGCCCTTGCCCGGAGCCCTCTTCGCTGCTCGGGGGGCCATCCCCCCTCCCTTTCCCCCCCTTCCCTGGTGGGGGGCTGCTGAGCAAGGAGCAGGGAGGGAGGGTCGAGGAGCCGGAACGGCCGTGGGCTGCCTGCGAGAGGGAGCCCGACTAGACGGAGCCCCCCCTGCAAAAGCCCCTCTGCCCGAGCCTGGCTGGGGGGGAGGGGGGAGGCAAGGAGGAGAGTGGTGGGCCAGGAGGCCTTTTGGGGGAGAGGAGGGAAGAGCCCCCCCCACCAAACACACACACCGAGAGGGATCCCCTCTAAGTCTCCCAGCAGGTCCAGTGCTTTTCCTGTCATCAGCTTTGGAGAACTTCCAAGATTGTGGTGGTTCTCCGAGAAGATGGAGGGCAAAGACCTAGCCGGGAAAGCACAAAAGGTGGAGGCAGCCGGGGAAGAGTCCTGAATTCTCCCGGGGGGCCTCCATTTGGACCGGCCGTTGAGGGGGGATTCGGCCACCTGGAGGCCGAAGAACCCCGAGAGGTTTGCAGCCAGCTCCATTGTCTTTGCCTTCAGTGGCTGCAGCCAGAAAGGAACACCAAAGCTCAGATGCTGGACCTGGTGGTCCTGGAGCAGTTCCTGGCCGTCCTTCCCCCGGAGATGGCCAACTGGGTGCGGGAGTGTGGCGCCGAGACCAGCTCCCAGGCGGTGGCCCTGGCGGAAGGCTTCCTCCTGAGCCAGGCGGAGGACAAAGAGGTGCAGGTGAGGAGAGATGTCACCGTACAGGAGACATGATTCTTAGTTACACTAAGAAGTCCTCACCAGAATTCTAACACGTCGCCATGTGGTGTTCTCTGAGCTCGGCTGTGTTTTTTCTCGGGGACGTTTCATTACCAAACGACGGAACGTCGTCAGTGCTAAATGCTATGGTAGCTGCAGTGCTACCTCACCAGCACTCATGTTAACGTGGTTTGGTAATGAAACGTCTGCAAGAAAAGAACCAAGCTCAGAGAGCACCAAGGACCCCACAGTCATCATTCTCCTCCTCCTCCTCCCTCTTGCGCTGATGATGTTCCCTAGTTGGGTCAAGAAACGTCTGCAAGAAAACAACCAAGCTCAGAGAGCACCAAGGACCCCAGAGTTCAGCTGTGAGCTACAAGTATTCTCTTCCATCAAATTTCCCGTGTGCCTTTAGGAAATTTGTCGGGATGGATGGAAAGTCAAAAACACTCCTCCCTCCCCACTTAGAGATGGTGGAGATGGATTAGTCTGGGACTGAAGACGAGAATCTTCCTTTCCCGTCATCCAGGCCCCCCCCCCTAAATTTTTCCTTTTGGGTCTTCACATGCAGGAAGGCTCCAGTGAAGTGGACCCACATGGACCCAGAGCAAAGGGGGAACCATCACTTCCTTCTCGGGTGACGTTCTTTAGGGAGATCTCTCAAGAGGAAGAAGCTCAAGATATCTCACCGGGTAAGTTGACTCTCCTTTCTTCCTTTTCTAGACGTTTATATACCTCTGGATTTTCAGGAATTCTAGCCTGAAAGAAATCTTGACTTCTTTCATCTTCAGGAAATTGTTTTGTAGGAGTCACTTCAGCCTGGAAGCTGCTTTATATTCTGCTGTTCCAGAAATGGTTAACAATACGTTCTAAAATTCTTCCTGCGCTCCCTTTATTATTTTTGTAGGGGACCGTACAACATCAGTGGACCTTCTGGAAGCCTCTTCTCCTTTTTCTAGTGGAGCAGCGAGAGCAATTCAGCTGCCAGCTCAGGTAGGAGAAATCTCAGCAGCTAAAATTTGCTGTAAGGAAACTCCAATTCATTAAAGAGCTGAGGGCACCATAATAATTCCCATTGCAGGAATCAAACCTGCATATATAGTATGTATCGTGTTCAACATGTCAAAATGTTCCCCAGACTCTTTGCAGATGCACTACGTGCTTCAATGGATTACAGACTGCCAAGATATAATCTTTAGGGTAGGAGTCCCCAACCCCCAGGTTGTGGATCGGTACGGGCCAGCAACCGGTCCGCACAAACAAGCAAAGCCCCATCCGTGGGATGCAGGCAGCACACAAAACCGCGCCTCCTCCGGTCTGTGGAAAAACTTTACCTCCACGGAACCAGTTCCTGGTGCCCAAAAGGTTGGGGACCTCTGCTTTAGGATATCTGAGTGAAAGATTGGATCCAGGAAGCCTGATCACCCAACGCTTCAGCCTGCAAATCTAATTATTACATTGACTTAACTTCTGTTGACTTCATGGCAACGTCCCTGCAATTTTCTTGGTAACAGCATAAAAGTGGTTGCCTCTTACCTTCTTTGGGTATGTTTCTTAATTTCCTAATCTGGCCTATATCTCTGGCATCTCCTGGTCATCCCGCATTAAAATTCCAAGCGGCCCAATCCCAGAGTGAGCGAGGCCAGGTGCCGTGATCTGCTGAGAGAACACCATCAATACAGGCTCTATCTCTGTTCCATATCAAAGATATAATTTTCCGTTGGCAGTATTAGTGTCATGGTTCCGAAAGAAGAAGCTTTTCAAAGAACTTTGAGGCCTTGTTTACCTTAAAGAATCCTTTTATTGCTACATAGGTTCCAGGGGTACATAATGAAGCCAAAAACTGAATCCTCCCTCCCCCAATCACCCGTAACAAAGCATAACTCACTCCTTCATTTAACAGTCATCAATGACGTTCTCCAATTAGTTTGAAGTGTGAACTTTCCCTCCCGTATCTCGCCTGGTTACAACTGACCTTGGAAATACTGTACTGAAATATTGTTATGGCTAACTATCCCCAGTACATACTTTCCCCCCCTCCCTTCTAACATTGTCTGACTTTAACTCTAGAAGTGATACACAGGTTAAATAAAACATGTCTGCTTCTTCATATATTGTCAACCAAGAACATCCAATGTTAGCAGCCTTGACAATTAGTTCTCATCCAATCAAGTTTCAAAGTATGAGTGGTTTTCAAAGTTTTTTAAAAGTAAAATATGGGCACTGTATTATAATAATAAATAAATAAATAAATAAATAAAGACTGGCAAAAGCAAGCAAGGGTAGTACCAATAGTCATAGGCGCCTTGGGTGCAATCCTAAAACAACTGGAGCACCACTTGAACACCATTGGCATTGACAAATTTGCTGTTAGTCAATTGCAAAAGGTGGCCTTACTAGGAACTGCTTCCATCCTGCGACGATATCTGTAATAGCATCAAACATCCACATCTGCCTATCCCAGGTCCTGGGTAAGGACTCGATAGATAGACAAAATGCCAAATCCAGTCTGAACATCTGGCTGACTGCGATGATTAATAATAATAATAATAATAATAATACCTGCAAAATAACACCCAGGACTTAACAATTGTTGATAAGAAAGACAAAAAAGACTGGATAGTGGATGTGGCAGTGCCTGGAGACAGCAGAATAGACGAGAAAGAACTGGAGAAGATAACAAAATACAAAGACCTACAAATACAAATAGAAAGACTGTGGTAAAGGCAAGCAAAGGTAAATAGGCGCCTTGGGTGCAATCCCAAAACAACTGGAGCACCACATGAACACCATTGGCATTGACAAATTCACCATTAGTCCATTGCAAAAGGCGGCCTTACTAGGAACTGCTTCCATCCTGCGACGGTATCTGTATTACCATCAAACATCCACATCTGCCTATCCCAGGTCCTTGGTAAGGACTCGATAGGTAGACAAAAATGCCAAAGCCAGTCTGAACAGCTGGCTGACTGTGCGATGATCAATAAAAATAATAATAAAGTTGGAAGGGACCTCTATCAATCAAAGTCTTGATGCACGCACAAATCCTGGTATTAAGAGTTCCACAGCTTTGGATAGTTTTTTGAATTTTAGGCCTTGCAGTGGACAATGTTTTTTTTTGTTGTTGTTATTTTTAATAAGAATTAGCTGTTTGTCCTCAGTGTAGGAACCACAGCACTTAGAGATCTGTAGAATTTGTAAATGATTTCTGGCTTTGAAACTAATTCAAAATTTTTGCTTTGGTTCAACCGATGCGCTAGATGGCCAAAATTTGTGAATAGTGACCACAACTGTATTTACTGTTAGCTGGAAATGCTGCCTCTGGCCCAGATGTCATTAAGGCTGCTGATTTCATTTATTCAATATAGATTCTGCATAACTCTGAAAAAATCTGAGATAGATAGATAGTTAGATAGATAGATAGATAGATAGATGATAGATAGATAACCCTTATTGTCATTTTTTTACTGTAGGCACAATGGCACACATTAAAAATGAAATTTAGTTGCTTGCTCTCAAAGTGTACACACACATAACACATTTAAACATACTACATACAACATATGTATGGACTTACACCATTACATATGTAACATATAAATATTAATCACTCTCCATCTTGAATACATAATGGAAGGAGGAAGCTTGAGAGTTCACAAGGTTAATACTGTATGGAACGAAAGTGACTGAATTTGGATGTTATAATAATATATTGTTTATAGCAGTGGTGGCGAACCTATGGCACGCGTGCCAGAGGCGGCACTCAGAGCCCCCTCTGTGGGCACGCATGCTGTCGCCCCAGCCCCGCCTCCCCTGCGGCCCCCTCCTCACCAGCAGCCCCCCCCCCTGGAGGAGAGTCACCCCCAGTCACGGCCCGCACGGAGTGCGCAGCCAAGGACATGGCAGCCGGGCAGCAGGGAGAAGACCGTAATCCTTACGCCCCATCACGTGCAGATGATGTTGCGGGGTGTGGGCAGAGGGCGTGGCTGCCATGGCGCTGCAGGGCCACCTGGGCGATCTGTGGCGGGCCATGAAGAGAGTGGGTGGCCCTGCGGGCAGGCAGGGCAGGGGCAGAGCAGGCAGGGCAGGAGGCGGGGTGGGGGCGGGTGGGCGGGTTTGGGGCACTCAGTCTCTGAAAGGTTCGCCATCACTGGTTTATAGTAATGCCAGTAATGAAAAAAATTAGTGGGGATATAAAGTTGAAGAAATAGTAAAAAAATGAGCAGGTTAAAATATTGTGGGATTTCTGAATACAAACTGAAAAGGCTCATAACACCCCAGATTTAATTTGTGGTTGAAAAGAAGTAAATGTGGATAAGTGATGTGGCAGTGCCAGGGGATAACAGAATAGAAGACAAGAACTGGAGTAGATCATAAAGTGCCAATGAAGGTGAATATCTGTAGCTCAGGATTGAAATAAGGGGTCCTTGGTGCTCTCTGAGCTTGCTTTTTTTTTTTTTTTTTGCAGACATTTCATTATTGTAACTAGGTAACATCAGCAGCACTGACAATGTTAGGGTAATGAAATGTCTGCAAGAAAACAAGCAAGCTCAAAGAGCGCCAAGGATCCCTCAGATCATAAAGATCTGAACATTAAAGTTGAAAGGTTATGGCATCAACTAGCTGCCGTGGCCCCAAGGATGATCAGCAGACTGTGTTTAATACCAAAACATCTTGGATAGCACTTAGAAAAATGTGCGCATTGACAAAATTTCCATCCATCAGTTAAAAAGGCCACATTGCTTAGATAAACACATATGCTACGCCTATATATTCTGACATCCTAGGTCAGGGGTTGGCAACCTTGGCTCTTTTATGACTCGTGGACTTCAACTCCCAGAATTCCTGAGCCAGCCATGCTGAGGGGAAAGGGAGAGGTTGCCAAGCTGAGTCAGGCTGGCTCAGGATTCTGGGAGTTGAAGTCCACAAATCATGAGGGGGCCATAGTTCCCCCATGCTGGCTGAGGAATTCTGGGAGTTGAAGTCCACAAGTCACAAAAGAGCCAAGGTTGCCTACTCCTGTCCTAGGTTCTTGGGATGAGTATGAGGGCCAACATCAGCTAAAAACTGGCAGTTGTGATTTCACACTATTGTGTATATACTTCCAAAAACAAACCAGATAAAATATAAAAAAAGAACCATATGGCAAATGCGGTCAACTACAGAGCTCACAATGGATACTGTAGCCTAAGCTAGGTTTTAACCAATCCGAAACCTTCATCAGAGCTGGAGACTCCCAGATTTCGGGGGGGGGGGCATCCTGGCTCTCTAAAGTTGACCCTGTTTAAGAAGGGATCCAAAGTACCACGGGAGATAGGGGATGCCTCAAATAACTGGGTCCTAGGCCATTATAGTCAGCACCTTGAATTGCATCCAGAAGCAAATGGGCAGCAGTGCAGATCACAAAACACAGCCATGCCAAGACTGCTCATGCCATTCTGGGCCAGTTGAAGCTTCCAGGTGGTTTTCAAGGGCAGACCTACCTAGAGTACACTGCAGTAGTCAAGTTCACTGGGGGCATGAATAACTGGAGGGCCTCCTCCTCCAGGAAAGAGCACAATTGGTGCACTAATTGAAGTTGCATAAAGGCAACCTTGGCTAAGGTGCCCTCTGCTCATTAAGCAGGAGCTGTAAATCAAAGATCACACACATACACTGTACACACACACACAGATTATGCACCACACTTGAATGGGGAAGAACAGCTTCATTACCAGGCTAGCTAAAATCTTCAGCGGCGTTTAGGGTGTCAGTGCTTTTCTGTTTTGTAAGGGCTTCAGGGGTGGGTGTGTCAAGTGAGGCTCTTTTGATGGGTCAGGTGTGAGTCATCAGAGAGAGGCTTGTGATGGGGAGGTTATTTCAGGTCAGGATCGGTGGAGGGTGTGAATTATCAGCGGGTCAAGTGTGAGTCATCAGTGAGTCATCTTATTAAACAGAAGTGCTCTGACTCAGACCTCCCCTAAACACCGCTGAAGATGTTACCTAGCCTGGTAACGAAATGTTCGGAAACCAACCCACAAGCTCAGAGAACGAACCTTCACCCTCATCTTACACCCGAGCTACAGATATTCTCCACTATTGCAAAGTACAACTTCACCCAAGGTCAAAGTTACACTCTCCCTGGATCTAAGGGGCCCTAACAACCACAACCACTCCGTCCTTGGTAGGACTGAGCTGAAGACATGTCCATCCAGGTCCCTGCAACCTCCAGGCAGAGAGACAACACTTGGACAGCCTCATTTGACCAGCCTGGAGTTGAAACCCGGTGGTTTCATGTGGATGTTGAATTGGGGGGAGGGAGAGCACCAAGCCTTGTGGTATTCCCACAAAGGATGACATCTCCCTCCCACCCAATTAATGGAATGGAGTAGAGTAGAGTATATAGAGTAGAGCAGAGCAGAGCAGAGTAGAGTAGAATAGAATAGAATAGAATAGAATATGGAATAGAATAGAATAGAAAAGAAAATGGAATAGAATAGAATAGAATGGAATAGAATAGAATAGAAAAGAAAATGGAATAGAATAGAATAGAATAGAATAGAATAGAATAGAATAGAATAGAATAGAATAGAATAGAATAGAATAGAGCTGGAAGGGACCTTGGAGGTCTTCTAGTCCAGCCCCCTGCTCAAGCAGGAGAATCTATATCGTCCCAGATCGGTGAATGTCCAGTCTCTTCTTAAAAATCTCCAGTGATGAAGCACCCACGATTTCTGGAGGCAAGCTGTTCCACTGGTTGATTGTCCTCACTCTCAGGAAGTTTCTCCTTAAATTCCAGGTTGCTTCTCTCTTTGATCATTTTCCAACCATTGTTTCTTGTCCTGCCCTCTGGTGCTTTGGTGAACAATCTGATCCCCTCTGCCTTGTGGTAGCCCCTCAAATACTGGGACACGGCTATCATGTCTCCCCTATTTCCTCTTTTCTTTAGACTAGCCAAACCCACGTCCCACAGCTGTTCTTTGTATGTTTTAGTCTCCAGGCCTTTGATCATTAATACTGACTGAAACCAGCCCTGGAGGAAGGAAGAGAACCACCACAAAATAGTTCCCCAGGTTCCCATGTCCAAGAAGGCTACCATAGTTGACCGCATCAAAAGGTGCTGAGAGATTAAGAAGAAGAAGGAAAAAGGCACCACTTCCAGCCTGGTTTTGCCGCGGGCCACCCTCAAGCACCACCAAGGTTGTCTCCACACTGAATCCTAACCCTGAATCCTGCCGGAAACAGACCAAAACAACCTGCTTGCTCCAGGGTTCTCGGCAGCTGCAGGCTGACCACCTTCTCCACACCTTACTTCCTTAAAAAGTAACTTAACCTTCACATTCTGTGTCTTGCTTGCTACATGTCAAGCCTGCCTCAGCTTGAACCTTAAGTAAAAACAATCCTTGACTCCATTTGTTGAGAAAGGTATAGTGAAATGTTGTTGTTGTTAATTGCGAAGTCGTGTCTGACCCATGGCGACCCCATGGACAACATTCCTCCAGGTCTTCCTGTCCTCTACTATCTTCTGGAGTCCATTTAAATTCACACCTACTGCTTCAGTGACTCCATCCAGCCATCTCATTCTCTGTCGTCCCCTTCTTCTATTGCCCTCAATCTTTCCCAGCATTAGGCTCTTCTCCAGTGAATCCTTCTTTCTCATTAGGTGGCCAAGTACTTGAGTTTCAACTTCAGGATCTGGCCTTCTAAAGAGCAGTCGGGGTTGATCTCTTCTAGGACTGACCGGTTTGAACGCCTTGCAGTCCAAGGGACTCACAGGAGTCTTCTCCAGCACCATAGTTCAAAGGCCTCAATTCTTTTGCATATACAAATACAGTAGGGCAAAAAGGTGTAAATCTTGCACCAGACATCCCCAAGTGTGATTCTCCCTCCCTTAGACGCTTCCCATTGCTTGGCCCTCATGTCCAGTCAAATTTAAAGGAGATGTTTTGGGAACTGTTACTCGAAATGTGGGCTGGTATGCAGCCAGCGGTCTAACCACAATGAACTGTTATCGCCCCCGAGTTCTCCTCCCTCTCACCTTCTCCCATGGCAGACTGGCACTAAGCAAAGCGTGAGGTGGCAGTTCTGACACTACAGTTCCATTATTTGATAGCCTTGATTGTTCTAAGCCAGGGGTAGGCAACCTTGGCTCTTATATGACTCGTGGACTTCAACTCTCAGAATTCCTGAGCCAGCCATGCTGAGGGGAAAGGGAGAGGTTTCCAAGCTGAGCCAGGCTGGCTCAGGAATTCTGGGAGTTGAAGTCCACAAGTCATAAAACGGCCTAGGCCTAGGCCAGACGTAGGCAAGCTTGGCTCTTTTATGACTGGTGGACTTCAACTTCCAAAATTCCTGAGGCAGCCATGCTGAGGCAACAGGGAGAGGTTTCCAAGCTGAGCCATGCTGGCTCAGGAATTCTGGGAGTTGAAGTCCACCAGTCATAAAAGAGCCAAGCTTGTCTACCCCTGTTCTAAGCCATGGCATAAAGGGCCACTGAAGTCAGCATCCCTGGGATCATCTGATTTCCTTTCTTTTTGCAAAATGTTGCTCTCCTTCTGGGTCTAATGGAAAAAAAAGGGGGGGGATTGGAATAATTTAATATAATTTTTATAATAATATAAAATTGATTTTTATATGGTGAAAAAAGCAAAGTTCTACATTTAGGCAAGAAAAACCAAATGCACAAGTACAGCACAGGTGGCACCTTGCTCAATAGCAGTAACTGTGAGAGGGACCTCGGAGTCCTAGTAGACAATCACCTAAATATGAGCCAGCCATGTGCTGCAGCTGCCAAAAAAGCCAACACAGTGCTGGGCTGCATGAACAGAGGGATAGAATCAAGATCACGTGAAGTGTTAATACCACTTTACAATGCCTTGGTAAGGTCACACTTGGAAAACGGCATCCAGTTTTGGTCACCACGATGTAAAAAAGAGGTTGAGACTCTAGAAAAAGTACAGAGAAGAGCAACAAAGATGATTAGGGGACTGGAGGCCAAAGCATATAAGAACGGCTGCTGGAATTGGGTATGTCTAGTTTAACAAAGAGAAGGATGAGGGGGGACATGATAGCAGCACTCCACTATCTCAGAGGCTGCCACAAAGAAGAGGGAGTGAAGCTATTTTCCAAAGCGCCTGAAGGCAGGACAAGAAGCAACGGGTGGAAACTAATCAAGGAGAGAAGCAACCTAGAACTAAGGAGAAACTTCCTGACAGTTAGAACAATTAACCAGTGGAACAACCTGCCTCCAGAAGCGGTGAATGCTCCAACACTGGAAGTTTTTAAGAAGAGACTGGACAGCCATTTGTCTGAAATGGTATAGGGTTTCCTCCTGAGCAGGGGGTTGGACTAGATGAACTCCAAGGTCCCTTCCAACTTTACTATTATTATTATTATTATATATGTCGATGGCAGCAAGTCTGCTCTACGCACAAAAATGGAAGGATCTTTCGATTCCCACCATGGACGAATGGCTACAAAAGCTGACGGAATGAGCAGAGAGGGCTAAATTGACGGTTTTGATAAAAGAAAAGAATAGAAGGACTTTTGTTTCTCCTCAGAAACCGCTTCTGGACTTTGTGCTTGAGGTAGAGAAAAAAAATACCACAGTTTTGGGTTTTTCTGATTAGATTGATTTGTTGCTATAGAAGTGGCTCATTCATATTACTATAGAAATGTAAAAAGTTGAGATTCAATGTTCATGCCTTATTTTACTGCAACAGAGGGAGTCGGAAGTCAATGCTTTTTTTCCCCCTTTCCCCCCTCTTCTCCACACTTCTCTTTTTCCCTTTCCCCTACCTTTGTTTCCTATTATTTGCTTCTGTTTTTTTTTTTTCGTATTTTGTGTTACAAGCGAATAAAAATTAAAATTTCTGCAAAATGTTGTTTACCCCAAAAGGGAATAAAGCAGTGATGGCGAACCTTTTAGAGATCAAGTGGCCAAAAACTGCCTCCGCCCCGCCCCCCCGCTCCACCCCTGCCCTGTCCCACCCCACCCTCCTGCTCTGTCCCGCCACTGCTCCCCACCCCACCCACCCGCTCCCCACCCCACCCACTGTCTCCACGGCCCACTGTAGATTGCCCAGGCAGTCCAGAAGCACTGTGGCGGCCATGCCCTCCACCCACACCCTACAGCAGGGGTAGTCAACCTTGGCTCTTTTATGACTCGTGGACTTCAATTCCCAGAATTCCTGAGCCAGCTAGGGAGTTGAAGTCCATGAGTCATAAAAGAGCCAAGGTTGATTACCCCTGCCCTACAGCATCAACTGCGCATGACAGGGCGTGAGGGAAGAGTCTTGTCCCTGCTGCCCAACTGCCATGTCCTTGACTGTGCTGCTCTGTGCAGGCCACGCCCAGAGGTGACTCTCCTCCAGGGGGCTGCTGGTGAGAAGGGGGCTGCTGGTGAGGAGGGAGCTGTGGGGGAGGCAGGGCTGGGGTGACGGCGCGCGTGCCCACAGAGAGGGCTCTGAGTGCCACACGTGCCAGAGGTTCACCACACTGGAATATAGCATGATGGATATATAGTAATACCTATGCTGGCCTCTTGTGTGTCAAAACTTTCTTGAGTTTCTCAGTTAAGCAGGAATGTTCTTGTTTTCTTTCCAGAGTGCTGTGTCTTTCCAGGAGGTAGCAGTGTGTTTCACAAAGGAGGAGTGGGCCCTGCTGGATTCCATGCAGAAATCCCTCCATGGAGAAGTCATGATGGAAAATTCCAGAAATGTGACTTCTCTGGGTAAGGGCCCTTACTTCTTTGAGTTCAGGGTGGAACGGAAAGCAAGTAAGAACTAATCAAGCGGAAGTCCCTACGCCAGTCATGGCGAACCTTTTAGAGACTGAGTGCCCAAATTGCAACCCAAAACCCACTTACGTATCGTCGGGTGCCGGGTAGGTGTGGCCCATTGGGTGGGTGTGGCCCATTGGGTGGGTGTGGCTGCGGTGGTAACGGCAGACTGGGTGGGACTAAAAAGTTCAATCAATCAATTCCAACTTTGTGAGATCTCTTTTTTCCCACAAGAAGTTGAACTTGATTGATTGATTGAACCTTTTTTTTTTTTTTTTGCACACGGCAGCGGAGGCCTATAGCGAAAAGGTTTTATAAAACCCAGCTGAAGGGCTAGGACTGAAGTGATGGCATGAGTGCCCACAGAGAGGGCTCTGCATGCCACCTGGGCACGCATGCCATAGGTTCACCACCACAGCCCTATACAGTCATTTGTCCCTGAGACTTTCCCCTTCTTTCTTGTTCAAGATTTCCATTCATTTCCATCCAAGCACGCCTTTCTTTTCCTCTCAAGTTGCCTTTCATATATTTTGCCACTGGATCCATGTTCCTTCTCTCCCTTTTGTATTCAGTCCACATTCTTTGAAACCCCTGGTGGTCTGTATTCCTATTAATGACATGGTCAGCCATATAATCCGTGCAAAGTTGTCAAATAGATGATTATTGTACGAGCAGGGAATACCAGAAGATTCAAGGATGAGAATACAGACCCAACATTCACAGAAGATGCATTTTCACTCCTTCCCATCAAATCACATCAAATTCACTGTACCAGTCAACATCAAAGGTCATCAGAGGCTACTTTTAGATTTGCATCATAATCCTCTTTCCTGTATCCCCCTAGAGATCTGGCAGGACATATAATTTCATATATGATGATTGATGATGTACATACCTATCCAACATACATACATTGTGGTCCTGATGTCCAGAGTTTTCGATTATGAAAAAAAAACAACCTTTCCTGATTCTTTCGACAATAATGATGGGTAAATATTTTCCCTAGCCCAGAGGTAGGGAACCTTGGCTCTTTTATGACTCGTTGACTTCAGCTCCCAGAATTCCTGAGCCAGCATGGAATTTTGGGAGTTGAAGTCAACGAGTCATAAAAGAGCCAAGGTTGCCTACCCCTGCCTTAGCCAATCCAGGTTAATGATGGTCTCCAAGATGCAAAAGTTTCGTGTTCAGTTGATTGACTCCGGTTGGCTAAAATTTAAAATCCTAATGCTTGCAAGCAACATAGTCCTTTTAACTAAAACACATTTTAATTACTGCGTTTTTCTTTCCTCTTCTTTTTTTGTTCCTTGTTTAAATCTTTATTTACTAGCAAGGGGGGAAAAAACAGCTCACAAAATCAGTGGGAAATACTCCAGCAAAGAAATAACATTTGAAATAGTTGTGTAAACAAAATCTAATACGGTGGTTTCTCAGCACTCATTGTTAATTGGCTCCGGGAGGTATGATGAGTACCAAAAACAACAAGTACCAAACCATTTTCTCCCATAAGGAATAATGTAGTGATTCACAAGGCAGCTGACAACGACAAGTTCTAGCTTGTATGTTGTGTACCAAACAAATGACGAGTAGCGGGACAAAATGTTGGTGTCAAAATGCATTTGATCAGTTTCAAAGCAGTTGAGTACTAAGGTACCATTGTATATAGATTTTATTTTTATTTTATTTTATTTTTAAAATAAACAAAACAAAGCAAAACATAACACACATACACACACAGTATATACTCCCCCCCCCGGTTTTTTAACAGCGATTACGTAACGGTAATCTTCTATTATTTACATTTCCCCCCTTATTCTTTTTTAGAATATTTGTCCTTATTGCCCCGTTGTTTCTTATTTACATTTTTCTTCCTTCATATTCTATTTCTTACTAAGAATAATTCATATTATTATTATACATTATTATACACATATTTTCACTTTTGATCTTTCCATATTTATTCTCCTCTATTATTTCTAGTCTCCAACCAGTCATACCACTTGTTCCATGTTATATAGTACTCTGTGACTTCCTTTTCTTTTATCTCTTTTGTTCATTTGTCCATCTCAGCAAATTGTATATAGGTTTTAACAATATAGAAAGAGAACTTTGGAAATGCTGATCAACTCCCATTAGAATTAGCTTATTAACTAATAGAAGTTGATCTTCTGTGCCTTACCCAGTTTCTGTGTGAAAGGTCTTACGGTAGAAGATTTACACTTCTTTTTTTAATCTCTCTTTTTTTCTTTTTCTCATTCATTTCCCCCCCCCCTCCCCCCAAGTAGGAGATGAGCAGGAAACTGTGAATGATCAGGAACTAAATAGAGTGATGTCAGAAACATTTGAAGAAGAAGTGGGACAGGAGACTTCTGAAAGTCACTGGAGCTCAAAGATACATGACGAATACCACCTTCAGTATATGGGAGATAATGCATCCCTTTCCCAAGGTGTGGAAGTCCTTGAGTCCTCAATCCAGCAGGAACACGCGGAAAACAGAACTAACTCTTGGCTACTGCATAGCACTATATTAAAAAATAACTTGGACTTAGATAATCAGTGTGCAACCGAAACGGAATATAACTATGATGAAGGCAGAAATCCTGAATTGTCTTGCGGGCAGACCTTCCCTCCTCCTTCATGTCCAGAAATCCACACTGGGGAGAATTCCTATAAATGCACAGAGTCCGGAGAGGAGCTCAGTGATCCCGGTAACCTTGCTTCCCCAAAAACAACGCGTACGGGCAAAAGAGCGCATAAATATTTAGAGCATGGAAAAAAGAGCCTCAAGCAGAGTGGTCTGCTTACTGTCCAGACGAAGCTTCACAATGAGAAACCATATCAATGCAAGGAGTGTGGAAAGAGCTTCAGGAGCAGCAGCCACCTAACTTCCCATCATAGGATCCACACCGGAGAAAAACCTTATAAATGTATAGAGTGTGGGAAGAGCTTTAGGCAACGTAGTCATCTTATTTCTCACAGAAGGATCCACTCAGGTGAAAAACCATACACGTGCATCGAGTGTGGAGAGAGCTTCAGGTTAAGCAGTCAGCTGACGTATCATATGTGGAACCACACGGGGGAGAAGCCGTATAGTTGTGCGGAATGCGGAAAAAGTTTCAGCAATGTCAGTTCCCTCACTTGCCATAAAACCATCCATACGGGAGAGAAACGATACAAATGCACGGAGTGTGGAAAACGGTTCAGGAACAGCAGTCATCTTACTTCCCATAAAAGGATCCATACAGGGGAGAAACCATATAAATGCACAGAGTGTGGGAAGTGCTTCAGAGACAGCTCTGCCCTGGTGTCTCATAGAACAATCCACACAGGAGAGAAACCGTACAAATGTATGGAGTGCGGAAAGAGCTTCAGCCAAGGATACTCTCTTACGACCCATCAGATGATCCATTCAGGGGAGAGGCCCTATAAATGTATGCAGTGTGGAAAGAGCTTCAAATGGAATAGTCACCTTACTGCACATCAAAGGATCCACACGGGAGAAAAACCATACAAATGTGTGCAGTGCGGAAAGAGCTTCAAAAACAGGAGTAATCTCACTAGCCATAAAAGGATCCACACGGGAGAAAAACCGTATAAATGCATGGAATGTGGCAAGTGTTTCAGAGGCAGCTCTGCCCTTATTTGCCATAAAACAATCCACACGGGAGAAAAACCATATAAATGTATTGAATGCGGAAAGAGTTTCAGCAGAGGCAGCTCCCTTACTTTCCACAAAAGGATTCACACAGGGGAGAAACCCTATCAGTGTCTGGAGTGTGGAAAGAGCTTCAACCAGAGTAATTCCCTTATTTTCCATAGTAGTGTCCACACGGGGGAGAAACCGTTTAAATGTACAGAATGTGGAAAAAGCTTCAGCAAAGAAGGTTGCTTTGTTTCCCACAAAAGGATCCACACAGGGGAGAAACCTTATCAATGTCTGGAGTGTGGAAAGACGTTCAGATTGAACAGTCAGCTTACATCTCATCAAAGGATCCACACGGGAGAGAAACCATATCACTGTATGGAGTGTGGAAAGACGTTCAGATTAAGCAGTGATCTTACTTCCCATAAAAGGATCCACACAGGAGAGAAACCGTATGAATGCATGGGATGCGGAAAAAGCTTCAAGCGCAGCAGTGACCTTACTTCCCATAAAAGGATCCATACTGGAGAAAGACCATATGAGTGTCTGGAGTGTGGAAAGACCTTCACAATGCGATCATCCCTAACGTCTCATAAAAGGATCCACACAGGGGAGAAACCGTATCAGTGCACAGAGTGTGGAAAGAGCTTCCGTGAAAATGGATCTCTCACTATTCATAAGAGGATCCACACAGGAGAGAAACCGTATCAATGTATGGAGTGTGGAATGAGCTTCAGGTTGCGCAGTCAGCTTGCATCTCATAAGAGTATGCATAGGAGTTTATCCATAGAGCCTGCACTGTAGGAGAAGGAAATGGCATTGATTAGAACAGGCAAAACCATCCCCTTCCCAGGGGCAATATTAACCCTCTCTACTCAGCCACAGAAGGCCCAGGAGTGCAGAGATACTGAGAGGTGAGCAAAGGCTTTGGGTAGCAAGGCCCTTACATGACAAGCCATAAAAAATATCTTTAGAAACTTACTATGTTCGTATAACACACTGTTCACTCAAATACATCATTATTTTTGTAACTCTGTTCCACTGTCTCACGGATTCCACATCTGACTTCACTAACCAAGGCACCCATCACATACATGCTTAATACAATTATTTTCGACAATCGTATGTATATTCTCGTTTGTGTAAGTGTATAAGGAGAGATCTCCTCCCTTTTTAGATTTTTGCTTCTGTCTCTAGTACTATAATAAATATATTCTTTGGTGGACAGTGTTCTAGTTTCCCTTTTGAATAAAATCTTGGGATAGTTTGTGGGAGAATCTAATCTTAGAGGGAAACTGGTACTAACATGGGTTTCATTGGGTGTTGAAAGTACAGGAGCAAATGGAGGAGAATATTTGAGCCGAGGTGGCGCAGCAGTTAGGGTGCAGTACTGCAGGCCACTTTAGCTGACTGTGTTCAGCAGGTCAGCGGTTCAAATCTCACCGGCTCAAGGTTGACTCAGCCTTCCATCCTTCCGGGTTAGGTAAAATGAGGACCCAGATTGTTGGGGGCAATGTAAATATATACATACATTGCTTACTGGTGTACACCGCTTAGAGAGTGCTTGCACTTAAAGTGGTATATAAGTCTCATAAATAAATAAATAAATAAATATTTGTAGCTCAGAGTGGAAGTGATGGGCCCCTGATGCTCTCTGAGCTCAGTTGTTTTCTTGCACACATTTCATTATTAAACAAGGCAACACCATCAGTGCTGGGTACAGGAATAGTTAACAGTATAGTATAGAAACAGTTATCTTATTGTTCCTCAATGAATCCGTCAAGAAACAGTTTTGTAACTTTATGGAGGTTTCTGGAACTTTTCATTGGACCATGATGAGCCAACCATTTAAAGGGTGATCCACCAGCGTACAGGAAATAAACTCAGTGCTTCTTTCTGGCAAAGCTATATTGATTTGATAATTCCTTAACAACCTAACACAAGGGAGAAATAACAATATTTATCATTTGCATGGAACTGTCCACTCTGTGAAGTAAATTTAAATGGCTGGATTATTTATACAGCAATATAGATAGTGTACAGGAAGGAGCAATGAAGAGAGGAAATAACATTTTTAACTTTTGAAAGCATTGATAGGAGAAGATTTTCAATCCTAGGAATTTTTGATTGATTACCTGCCACAAGAGTTCTTATCAACTCTTAGTTACCACATAGTTTTTTTCCCAAGACAGTCGGCCTAATCTAGGGGTAGTCAAGCTTGGCTCTTTTATGACTCGTGGACTTCAACTCCCAGAATTCCTGAGTCAGCTATGCTGAGGGGAAAAGGAGAGGTTTCCAAGTTGAGCCATGGTGGCTCAGGAATTCTGGGAGTTGGAGTCCACGAGTCATAAAAGAGCCAAGCTTGACTACCCCTGGCCTAATCTGATCCTTCAGGTTTTCAAAGGGTACATCCATTGCCACTGTAACTGAGTCCATCCATCTTGCAACTGGCCATCTTTTCTTACTGAAAAGCAAAAAACTAAAAACACTTTAAAATGTTTGCTATTTTATTCTCAGAAATTCTAGCTGGTAAAAGTATGATATTCACTCTGCAGAAGCTTCTTAATTGTATATAATATATGTGCAACATGATCTGGATATTAATAACCATCATTGCCATGGTCAAATCACTGTTTTTAGCTTATTGCCAGGACAAAGGGCTTGGTTGATGTTTGGGGGGGGGGTTGGCTTTTTTTTTTGAACCATCAATAACCGTATTGACTCAGCACTGGAGAGACAAAGCACTGGAAATCTAGGCAGAATTTGGATAGAAAATGTGACTGCGGGGATGGTGATGAGGATAGTGTTCTGTCACAAAAGGAAAGCTTTCAAATCAAAGAAAGTTGAAGATACGTGCAGAAGTGAAATTTTAATAAAACTATTTCCTGTTTTAACTACTTACTATCTACAAGCCCTTTAATCTCTTTTTCTAAAGACTCTTTATCTACACTACATTCTCTAAAGTCCATTTTCACTATACTTTCATAACGTTTTATTCTGTGTCTCCAATATAGAGGAAGTCCGCAGTTAATGGTGGTTACGAGGGTTCAGCAACGTTATGCTGTGCTGAACAAATAGTAGTTATGCCCAGTTCTTCATACAGGTAGTCCTTGAAGTATGACCACAATTGAGCCCAGAATTCTGTTATTAAGTGAATTTTGCAGACCTTTCTTGCTACAATTCGTCACTGTAGTTCAGTGGTTCTCAACCTGTGGGTCGGGACCCCATTTGGGGTAGAACGACCATTTCACGGGGGTCGCCAAACAAGGCTGTCCGCCATTTTTTCCCCCTTTTCTTTGGCCACGCCCCTGGCACCCAGTAGTGGTTGGGGGTCACCACAACATGGGGAACTGTATTATGGGGTCGCGGCATTAGAAAGGTTGAGAACCACTTCTGTAGTTGTTAATAACATGATTGGGAAATAAATCAGGCTTCCCCATTGACCTTGCTTGTCAGAAGCCCATAAAAGGCAATTACATGATCCCAGGATGCTATAGCCATCATAAATATGAACCAGTTGCCCAGTGTCTGAATTTGGCATGACCATGGGGATGCTGCGATGGTTGTAAGTAAAAAAATGGTCATAAGTCACTTTTTTCAATGCTGCTGTATTTGAACAGCCATTAAACAAATGGTAAGTTGAGGTCTTCCTGTAAGGGAAGTTGCAGTGTCCCAGGTCATGTGATCACCTTTCGTGACCTTCTGACTGTCAATGGGAAGCCAGATCCAATTAACAGTTGTGTTACTAATTTTAACAGGTGCCCTGATTCACTTAACAATAGTGACAAGAAAAGTCATAAAACGGGGCAATTGTCTTGCTTGGGCACAGTTGTGGTTGTTGAGTCCAGAACTGTTTGTACTCACTGAGGTTAGGAAGGACCAAGCTGGGAATGGCTTGAGATCTGGGTGGGATCTTACCTAAGCCTGGAGGGATTCAGTTAATAACGATAAGGGCCCCTCTCTGAGTGAGATGGGTAGTTAAGAAATATGAAGTATAAATAAAATGACAACTTGGACCAGGGTGTCAAACTGGCGGCCACGCCCAAACCAGCTCTGCAAAGGCAAAAAAGTCACAAAAGGCTACGATACGTCACGTGACGCGATGGAGTTTAATGCCCGTAACCTGGACTATTAAATGTGTATGGAGATTCTCAGTCATCCAGGTCATGGTTGTCCCAAAGGTGCTTTTTCCCGGAGGCAACTGGATTTCCTTGTGTTTTTTTTTAAAGACGTTTCGCTTCTCATCCGAAAGCTTCTCGGATGAGAAACAAAACATCTTCAAAGAAAAAAAAGAAGTCCAGTTGCCTCTTGAAAAAAGCATCTTTGGGACTGAACTATTAAAATATTTAGCTATAAATGAGAGTCATATGCTTTATTATGTTGCCAACTGAGGACTACAAATATGGCCAATTTCTCTACTTCTGTCATATTAATCCCTGCACATCTCAGTGGTCGCTCTCTTTGAAGCCAAGTCCCTTTTCTCACAGAGTTCATTTTTTTAAAAAAAATCTTTTTAAATTTCTGATTTCTATTTCCGTTCAGTTTAATTTCCCTTCCTTTTTTTTCTCCCGACTTCTCCCCACTTGGCTGCCTCTGAGGGAAATTTTCCCCTCAGGCCGGTTCTGAGGGAAACCAAAAAGCGCCTCTCTCTTCCACGGTTTCCTCAGCTGCTGCCTCCTTTCTGGCTGCCTCCTAAATTTAATTTAAGTTAAATTTCACTCTTTCTTTGGCTTTGTTCATTCAACCCGGTTGTGGTCAAGGCTGCGGTGACAGAAACCACCCCCAGCAGCCATTTTGTTTTCCCCTCAGCCTTCCTTCCCTGCCTGAATGTCCAGCGGTGTTATCTGATTGGCCACTGCTGCTATGTGATTGGCAGCTGCGTTGTCCTGACAATGGAGACAGCCTAAGACAGAAGGAGTGGCAGAAGTCCAGCAGGGGCTTGTTGAGCTGCTTAAGCAACCTGCCCTTCTGCGATTGGAGTCCAGGGGGCGCTCAGGGCCCTTCCTGAGGACAGGTTGGCCTCTGTCCCTGCCTGGAAGTGACCTGCCAGGGGGACCTTGAAGCCAGATACTCCCAAATCGCCTCTCCTTGTGCTTCCATGTGAGGCAAGGAGATGGGCTTGGGGCTTCAAGGGACGCCAGAAAAGACACCCAGAGTACTGTGGGAGGAACCAAGCACAAGACAAGCGCCAGGATTACCTGGTGGTGGCCTGTGCAGCAAAACAAAACAGACACATTGATTGACAATCAGCCTACGAACACCTCAGAATCCAAATCAAACGCATAGCCAACCAGAGACAGCACCGACCCTCAACCAACCCACACAAGCCCCCTCCTCCCCCTCACCAGCAGTTCACCTCCCAATGACCCTGACCTGATGTAATAGTAGTAACTGTGAGAGGGATCTTGAAGTCCTAGTGGACAGTCACTTAAATATGAGCCAGCAGTGTGCTGCAGCTGCCAAAAAAGCCAACACAGTGCTAGGCTGCATTAACAGAGGGATAGAATCAAGATCACGTGAAGTGTTAATACCACTTTAAAATGCCTTGATAAGGCCACACTTGGAATACTGCATCCAGTTTTGGTCACCACGATGTAAAAAAGATGTTGAGACTCTAGAAAGAGTACAGAGAAGAGCAACAAAGATGATTAGGGACTGGATGCTAAAACATACAAGGAACGGTTGCTGGAATTGGGTTTGTCTAGTTTAACGAAGAGAAGGATGAGGGGGGACATGATAGCAGTGTTCTAGTATCTCAGAGGCTGCCCCAAAGAGGAAGGAGTCAAGCTATTCTCCAAAGCGCCTGAAGGGAGGACAAGAAGCAACGGATGGAAACTAATCAAGGAGAAAAGCAACCTAGAACTAAGGAGAAACTTCCGGACAGTTAGAACAATTCACCAGTGGAACAACCTGCCTCCAGAAGCGGTGAATGCTCCAACACCAGAGGTTTTTAAGAAGAGACCTCCAAGGTCCCTTCCAACTTTATTATTATTATTATTATTATTATTATTATTATTATTATTATTACTACTACTACTACTACTACTACTACTACTATCCTCCCCAACACAAGACCCATCACAAGCCTCTCACTGATGACTCACACCTAACTGGTCACAAGACCCATCATAGACCCTCACTTGACACACCCACACCTGAAGCCCTTATAAACACATGAACATCGACATTGACATCCCCTAAACTCTGCTGAAGATGTTACCTAGCCT